ATGTTTGACTTTGAGTTGACTTATTTTTGTTAATAAATTCTTGTATTTTAAGAAATTGTGTGAATTCATTCCATATATGTGCAGAGTTTATGCTGTTCAATAATGTCAGAGCTCGTCTCACACCTTTTCAATTTTGTCCTAATACCACCGCCTTACTGGGCTGGTATTCACAGGACAACCCTTAACAGACCGAAATATTATTTAATAAAATATTAAAGTATTAATATTAAATAATATATTCATAACTACCACATGGCAAAGGTAGAAGTACACAAAACAGCCCAAGTGTTTCATGCCCTGCCCCTGACAGCGGGTGTCGAGGGTGAAATAATCCCATAGATGAGCCAGAAACTGATAAAAATGTAATAGAGACAGAAAAATGGAGAAAGAAGAAAGACGGAGAGACAGTTAAAGAAGAAGAAAAAAGATATAGAAATGATATATAAATACAGTAGGTAGAAGATGAATAAAGAACATTTTAGTTTTTTGTTTTTTTTCTTAAGTGATGATCTGTCAAATATGTAGACAGTTTAAACAGGCTGTGGTCAGAGGAAACTATGGGCCTGGCCATTAATTTAATTTGTTTTTGGGGTTTTTTTGCAGCACTAGAGGCCTTTTATTTTTCATTTTTCAACAGTAGGTAAACAGGAAAGAGGGCAAAGAGAGGGGGAGACATTCTGCAAAAGGCACTGGGGCCGGTACTCGAACCCGGGACAGACACATCAAGGACTATAGCCTCTGCGCATGGTGGCGTGCTTTTAACCCCTACACCACCAGCGCCGCACCCTGGCCATTAATTGATGTATGTATATCTATATACAGATATATATACTTATATCCCATTGACACCCCACCCCCCTGTGACTGCCTTCTTTCAACCCCCCACCCATCCAGGACCAAAATCATTGGGGAAACACTGTCGCTACCATTTCAATAATAGTTTTTTAAATCTCCGTGCTTCCTTTGACTTCTTTTTAAACACCTCACTGATACTGAAAACAGCTGAGTATTCTTCGCAGTGTGTATGTTGTTACATCCACACTGAAGAGTGTTGCTGTCAGTGCAGCCTGATGGCCCCTATTTTGGATTGTTCACTGATTAGAAGACCCGATGTTTTGAGTTTCTGACCAGCCAGTCACGATATAAGTAAATAAATGCTGCTACTTGTATATTCTGTTAACATTATTTAGCCTCTTCCAATTACTTTTGAGAATTTTTATTGCAGCAAATTCTAGATTTGTTTACATTTTCCTAAATACTTTTGGAATTTGGACAAAAAAATGTCTTTTCTTGCTATAGGTGTACAAATAAATGTTTGTAAATTCATCAATAAAACTACAATTGAAAATTGAAGTTTAGTCTACCATATTGCTCATGTTAAAATGGGCTGGTTTGCATTGAGTTTTAATTCACCTGATTTGATCAAAAGGAAATAGTTGGGGAAAATGTCAAGTTTTAGGTTTATAAAGGCTTGATTAGAATCTAGTTTAAGTTTACATGGCCTTTCGGAGACGTTTAAGTCTTGTTAACCTTAATTGTAAATCAGTGTATAATGCATCTTAAATGACTGAAAGATTGTGAGTACCTGGTGAAGAGTCGGGCCTTTGTAGTTCCCAACAGTGTGGCTTTTTTGCCCTCCACCAGCAGCATGGAGCCTTCCCTCAGTCCCTAAAAACAAAACAAAAAAACAGAAATAAACGACGGTCCGATAAAAGCAGGAGTTGGATCCTCTCCTCCTCATCTTCACTCACCAGAACACATGGAGTGTTGGGTTCTTCGTGGTACTGGGTTATCCTCTGCTCCCTGGTCTCCTGCACAAGAACACCAACAGCTTCAAGACATACAACATACCTCCGAGGACAATACTTTATGTAACTGTATCAAGCTAAAGCCTCACAGGCGGTACATAGATTTATTTCATGTTATTTTCTTGTCATTATGTTAAAGAATTAGTTCAGATATTTGATGGAAGAACTCACTAAAAGGTTTTGTACTTTTTTAGATTTGACTTAATTAGTTTAAAAATGTAAGTTTAATGGTTCTTCTGTGAGCGCCAAGCCACTGTAGATCATGCTGATTGTCAATTCATGCAACAACGCGTAACGGCACACATTTGAAAAGCCAATTTTTACTGTTGTATAACCAATGTTGGCCACTAGGGGGAGCCATGGGTACAAGTATGAATGTGCCACTTGTTTTATTTTATTTAACTTTTTTGTATATTACTAGATGGCACAAATGTTAAGTTTTTCTCCAGGCTCTGGGAGTGTGAAACCAAAACAAATAACTAGTAAATACAGCTGCAGTGATATTAACTTGTTTAGAAAAAAAAGTACCAAAGTGCAACCATGCTTGCTTCTCTTCCATAAATCTCAAAAGTTGTCCTGTTGACAGATTCGCTCAGCTGAGCAGTGGATTTCTGCAGCTCCTCTAAAGCTACCACGGACACCATGGCGGCCTCTGTCAGTTTAGATGAGCGGCCGTGTTCTGTTAGGTTTGCAGTTGTGCCATACTCTTTCTATTTTCAGATGATGGATTGAACAGTGCTCCATTAGATGTTCAAAACTTGTTTTCTAATCTAATCCTGAAACTTCTTCACAATTTCCTCCCTGAGCTGTTTGCTGTCCTCCTTGGTCATGGTGCTGATTGTTTATTAATGTTCTCTAACAAACCTCTGAGATCTTCATAGAACAGCTAGATGTATACTGAGACAAATTACTATTCCATCTCTTTCCATGGAGTCAGACTATGATTCAAGTGAATTTGTTTTTATTCCATAGCTGCTTTTTACACATTTTGTCATGCAGTCTGTCTTCATTCATAAAATTAATGCAATTAATTGATTTGTACCTAAACTGTGAAAGCATATTGGGCAGGGTGTGCCTTCAAAATGAGTAAAGCAGAGATTGGACAACCAAGAGAATCCGGATTAAAAATCTAAAAATGGGGGATAAAATCCAACAAAAACCTGAAAAAGGACCTGAGCATCATTCAGTCAACCATCTATCTACTTATCAGCTGAATAATTCATAGGTCAGAGTTAGGTGATTGAAGAAGCGGGGGGAAAAAAGAAACAATTGAAAGAATGAACAAATGTAGAACATTTATAAATGAAAGTAAATTTGCCTGAAATATTTATAGGAAGGTATTCATCACTGATAAAACTAAATAAAGAGTAACTCATAACATGAATACATTATTGTTTTTACCAATTCCAGAGGGAACACTGGCAGTGAAGGAACTCTGGATTAAACCTCCAAAGTGTCAGATGTTCCAATGGCAGACACACCGTTTGCTGACACTTATTTAATTTAATGCAGCTCTGCAGTTTTGCCGTTTCCTGTGTTGCATAACCTCAAACTATTCCATGTTTTCAGCATGCAGATGTTTTTTTCTTTACTAGATGTCTGTGCATTCTTCACATTTAGAGAAGTCTCTTACTTTTTTTAAACCTAAACCTAACTGTAGCACTATAGGTTTCACAACTACAATTATGGGGCTTCATTCCCACCGTAAATGGAATAAAATTGTGTGTTTGTCTCTCTTGCTGCCCCCTTTCTCTGTTTCTTGTCAGGTACATGAAATGTAGGCTACTACCAATTTGTTAACTCCAGCTCTGATTGGATGGACAGTAATTTGAATGGTCCAATCAGGATTTGTGATTCTCCTATATAGGAACCCCCCCCTTATACAACATACCCTCTTATTTTACAACCCAGGGAGTGTGGTTTATGACTAGCAACATTCACCATAGTCAAACCCCTAAAGGGCAGAGTTTATGTTGGAATTCTCTTGCAGCCTTTTCCAAACCCTTCGGTGCTTTAAATATAAGCAAAGTTGTTGAGCGCCATCCTCAACATTTTGTTATCTGGATTAGATTCTGCTCAGCAACATATTTCTGAGATCAGACGGACTCTGCCACCATCCTTCTTGCCCAGCTTGTAACACAAGTTGGGGCTCGTCCGGGATCCACTTTACCTGAGTGACGGACAATTTTGATGCAAAAATATTGCTTAGGTGCCAACACTGCAAGAGATAGAAGTTAATTCATTCTTTATTGCCTCTGAAAGGATTCCAACAGTTAATCTAAAGAGATGTGGGCTGTGCTACTGAGTGAAGCTTAATAGATAAGGAAGTCTAAACTGTGAATAACTGAGAGTCCATTTTATTTTCTTATAAGGTTGTGCCAGAAGCCCACAGGTATAAGTTCAGGAATCACGAGAGGTCTGGGGTCAAACGTTTATCGAGTTTGCATGTGAGAAAGGGGTTCTTTTTGATAAGTGATGTTCTGCTAATGAAGTCAGTGCTAACCTTGAATCTCTTTGCCAGTTAATCTTGTTCAGAGATTTTAAGAATCCATTATCAGACAAAATGGTGGTTTTCTTAAATGAACAAAGGGTTGTCTCACTGTCAAAAGCTGCCACATTAGCTGATGAGTTCATCTTGACATTTACGAATGGGTTTGCATCTATCTTTCATCCAGACAGGGTTTTGGTCACACATCATCAAAACCAGAGCTCTGTCAACCTGTAGGCAAAGTTGAACAACCACCATATCTTTTTCATGAGGTATGTGAGTGTTTCTGGCATTGGTTTACTTAAGGGTTTGCGGGAACCAGCAAACAGAACCTCTAATGAATTTCTTTCAACTATGGTTTTCTTCTTGATACAATCCCATTAAGGCCAGATTTGTAGAGTGAAAGATTAATACTTGCCCTGTCAATAGATTATCCCTCCTGAGTTGTGGATCTCTGCAGCTCCTTCAGAGTTTTATATGTGCAATTGGTCTTTAGCCATAAGGCCATCAATTTTGCTTAAAATATGCAATAGAGATATTGTCATTAATAATTTTCAATGCAGTCACTTTTACTGCCATTCTGGGCTTCACCTACTTTGTCATGCTCTTTAATTAATATTATCCCTGATATTAATGAATAAACTGAAATGTACCATTTACTAATGAGCTAACATCTAAAGGCTGTTGGTTGCACTGGATTTTATTTAGAGGTAACACCCTAAGGGAGGTTGAAAACAAATGCAGACTACGCTTTTAATTTTTTTTTTGCAAAAAGCTTTTGAAAAACATGTATCATTTTTCTTCCACTTCAGTTATTCACAATATATTAATGGGATTTTTAATGTATCACATAAAATCCCATTAATGTACATTGATGTTTGTGGTAGTAATGCATTCAACACAGACTGTCATCAGACTCACCCCCATGTGGCGGCTGTTGGGGTCGGAGTCCAGGTAGTGCGGGTTGATGTTGAAGGGGATGAGGCCGATGGCGGAGAAGGTTGGAGGAAAAACAATAGGCATGTCATTGGTGGTGCTTATACTGATGGTCGCCACATTGGTGCCGGCACTGGAGCCCATATACGGGACACCGTCCTAGAAGGAAGGAAGGTATGGAGATAGGAAAAGGAATGTTGAGCCTTGATTGGCATTCTTATCAACAACAGGTACAGGAAGTGGCTGCATCTTGTTTCAAGACTGTTGAGCTCTATAAGATTTGGCTGTTGGTGCGTTCCACCTCCATTACTCTCTTCCTGATCTCCGTCACCACATTGTTGTCGTAAAGGCTCTTGAGCAGCCGGAAAGTGTTGCCTCCTCCTACAAGCAGATGAATCTGTTAGCGTCTCAATGGATGTGGTCAGTACAGTCATGGCCAAAGGCTTTAGCAGTAATATGTTGTTTCAAAACCATAAGTTGCAAAAATATCAAACTAGTGAGAATAGTGGGGAGTTTTGTCCTGCTGCTGAACTTCTCTCAATGTGTGT